AATGTCTACTAAAGTTCAATGCTTAATATATACTGCTGCAAAATACATGTTCTAACAAGCACTTATTTATGGACTAGTAAATTTTCCACAGTTTTCTTCTGACTCTTAAGTAAAATGGTTTTACGTTTGGAAAATAAAATACGCTTTCGTTTAATAAAATACGAAGTTCATGTAGTAAGGAAGATATTGGTAGACTTAGATCTTCTTAAAATTAATATTATACAATCTTTTGTGTTATTTAGTATAAAAAAAATAACAGCTATAAAAAAAAAAAAATGTTCATACAATTAAACAAGCAGCTTAATCAAAAAACATAAAACCATAAAGGGGTTAGCGTGTGCGTTATAGCATACACTGTAAATAAAGTGCATATTTATATTTATATGTATTGTTTAATATACATATATTTTCACCACGTCTGGCTCATATATTATGGACATAATGGAATACCCCTACTCTTTATTTAACAAGAGCAAAACGCAAAGCTGATGAAAATTACATTTAAATCAATAGTTCTACACCATATATTCGACATTAAAGGTGACCATAACTTTTGATTGAGTTGAACAATATTTTATTTGACTTATTAACTGATGTAAAACTAATCTGGTATTTTCCCATTCTATAAATAATGATAAATTTAAACTATTGTAAATGTTTTAATCATTTAATAATTTTTAAAAAATAATTAGTTGACAAAAAAAAAAAAAATATTACTCTATATTTTTTCACTTATTATTTTAAAAACCCTGTTTAAATCTCATTTTTTAAAAATATTTGTATGATTTTCCTTTTTTATTTACTTTATAGCGACTTTAACTAAAATATAATTATTATTTAAACAAAATTGTTTATACAAGAATTAATATTTTAAAGTTTATAACCATAAAATCTGTCGTTATAATTTTAGGAACATAGAATTTTATATAAATGAGCTTTTCATCTTAGCTTAATTACCGTTCTTGTTATACTCCTTTTAATTTAAATTTAAATTTTACTAAACTAGTTTTAATCAAGTTTACATCCTTAACATAATTAATCTTTTAATACGAAAGTCAAATGGGTATGTTGCTTATTATTATTCTAAAATATTTTCATTTTTTTGTAATTAAAATTAATAGATTAAATTATTGTTAAAATATATTTGATAAATACATTTTTAGTGAACTAATTTATAAAAAATATTTATATGATAGCAAAATTTGTTTCATTAAAAAAATATTCAATCTTTCTTTTTTTTTAATATAACCAACAGATTTCCCTAAGGGGTTGATCTTTTATTTGATCGCACCCTTTTTGGTAGATAAAAAAAAAATCCAAAGTTTTATTTTTATTACTGTAAGTTCTGTGTATCTAAAATGTTAATAAAGGTTATAGAAAGTAGAGATGGCCTGTATAAAGAATTGTTTTTATGTTTTTAAATCATTATTTTTGACGATTTCAATTCCTAAACCTTGATAATAATGTTGATCCTTATACTTTTTTTCACATCATCAAAAATACATTTAATTATTTAAAATATTTGACTTTATTAGTTGATTTTTAACATTTATTTTAAATAAATTTAATCATATATCCAATTAAAATATTTAATCGAAAATAAAATTATACAAAATTCGCATATTGTTTAATTATCATTTATATTTTAATTTTGAAAAAAGTATAAACCAAGTACCTACTTATAGTTCCGTTCAGCTAATACTTAATTTATTTTATTAAAAACCTTAATACATTTATAAATTGAACTAAACATTGTTTAATACTATTAAAATAATTTTAAGTAAGCAAATGCTAAAGTATAGAATCTATAATAGTGTATTACTTAGAACATTTAATTATAATTATTGTTAAAATATGTAATTTGCTAGAAACATCAAAAACTGGATTGTGAAAAAAAATATAAAACTATTAATACAACCAATAATAATTTACACCACATAATAAAATTATAATGTTAATTAAACAATTACTTTAAAAGTAATTACTTTAAATTACTTAAAAGAATAATAATTGTGTAACGTTTTATTTAAATCTAAAATGAATACGATTTATGAATTGTAATTGTATTTTGTTTGTACATTATGTGTAAAAAAACTGTTGTTTCTGAATTTCTTAAGACAATATTAACATATCTAATCGCTTATTTAGGCAATTATTTCTAAATTTTTCCTGTTATAAATATTATAAACCTTGTGTCATATTTCATATAGCAGAGTTTCCCTTGGAAATTTTCTCTTATTAAAGACCCTTAATCCCCCGCAACTGTTTTGTTGTGCTTTACAAATAAAAACGCTCTCTTGAATAATAGTTTCGACCTGTCATCTTCAGAGCACTTGCCAGGCTATTATCATACGCAATACACCTCCAATCCCTTCTTTGCATTTAACTAAAAAACAAAACAAACCGTAAGTGTACAAAATCATTGTTTTTATAAAGAAGATTTAAAATAAAATTATTCTCACAACCAAGAATGATTTTTCGTTGTATTTTATATTAACTCTGACGTTACCGGCGTTTCGAATAAGTAGTTACTTTATGTAGTTACTGCTTAGAGCAGCTTATAAAAAATAAAATAAAATAAAATAAAAGTAATAGTGAAAATAATATCCAGTTATATAAACTGTTCGGTTCGGTTTGTACACACGAGGGATTTTAATTTCCTGAGCGTCGTGTAATCTATAAAAGGGTCAACGAACAGATTTCATCAGGTGAAGTAATTTGTCCCCTAGCTCCGGGAATTGCATTTGTATGGCTGTACGTGTGTGTTTAATCTGTGAGAAGAGGTGAGGGATTCATTTACTAGACTTTGGCAACACGACAAAAGCGTACATGGAGTGCAATTTAGACATTTGGATGACAAACGCCCATCAAAGCCAGTTCCCGGGTGTGGTGCCCTCTGTGTTAATTTCCACTAATAATATCATTCCGACGTCATTCGCATTGGTTGCGCCGTTAACGATTTTTTTTTATTTATGTCGCTTTAAACACTACGAACTGTCATGGTGTGTGTGATATAGGTTTATGCTTTAGTATTCCCTCCTCTTATATGTGATGATTTGTGAATAAAAAGCATAGTTCGCTGTCAAGTGTGAAACTAGAAACAACATTTTATTTTTGTTATGTATTTATTATTTTATGCTGTTAAAAAATCCAATACTTAGAATAGTATTTTATTCTATTATTAATATTATGTTCGTTTTATGACGTATCGTTTAGAATTGTTTACCTTTATTTCTACTTTCGTATACAATATAATATATTATATTATTTTGTTTATAATAGGTAGTAAAAAATACAACAATATAAATGAAATGTGTTAAAAGATGTTATGAATACAAGCTATGTGTAACAACCAACATCTAGGTTCCGTTTTTGTTTTCCCGGTGTGATGTAGTAATAGTTGTATCAAATTTTTGAAAATATCAATAATCCCAATTTCCTAGTTTTGTTTATTTTGTGGGGTGACAGTTTTTCGATCCGTTGTCTTTAATATATTATATTATCATACTATACGGGGTATCCTAATTTATAGTCATTCGTCCGCTCCGGATGGAATTTGAAATCCATATTCTGTGATAATGCATAATCAAATGTCATAATTTATAAGTTATACTATCATTATATTGCAGGGGTGGCCAACAAGAAGAGACTTGCGAACCGCCCAATATATTAATAAATATGGAAGAGCCAAAATAAAAAAAAAAATGCATATTAATGTGTGTATATGATTATATCGTAGAGAAGATAATTAAATATATTAATCGTAATAAAATATATAAAATGCAAAACAATATAATATGATATTAATTAATAATTAAAAATAAAAATAAATTCATATTAAAATTGTTTTTTTTGTAATAATGTTTGTATCTTACGATAAGATGTGAGTTATATAAGTCTATGACGGTAGCCGCAGTTTGGCCATCCCTGTTATATAGCATTATAGAAATTATTATGTATCTACTGATTAATACTGATTTTAATTTAAAAAATTAAATTTTATTAGTTAAAATTTCATTATAACAATTGTACTTTGAATTCTTTGGCTTAGAAACACCATATTTATTTAATATCATATTTAATTATTATTTAACCTAACCTATTTAATATTTGCTTATTATGTCTATATATATTGTATACATTTTATGGTGTCATGGTTCAAAGTATATGAAGTAATTTTTTAGGAAAACATATTATCTTTTTCTCTATTATTTCAAACATTTCACTATATAACCTAACGATATTTACTTCAATTATTTGTTTTCCTCCTCTTCACGAAAAAAAACCAAACAATAAATCATCGTTATCTATAATGAAAGTTTTATCAAAACTTCTTGTTTGTATCAAAAATAATTTAAAATTCGATTTATTACTTACACAATTCTTAATTTTCTAGCTTGTATATAGATATGATCCTTTTAAATTATATGTTTGAAATATACTTAAAATAATTAACTATTTTAATTACTATGGATTTGTAATTGCTTATATGATCCTTATTTTACATTATATATATTTAATATAACGTATATTATTATCACATACATGCTATAAAAGTACCTATAGGTAAATGATAATAAATTATATTACATTATATTTTTAGTTTTTTATTTAGCATCTAATTTGTATTGGATTTATTAATTATAAATAATTTAACGTACATTAGTTGAGATTATTATTATTTTTATTTATACATGGTTTATTATAATTTTTTTTTTTTTTTTTTATTGAGCTGATATATTGTGTTGTCTGTATCGAGAGCTTCCGACAGAATATTACGACTTCCGCTTTTAGTCTTTCCTTCTCATAAATACGATATTTGGTTATAAACTCATAATAACATGTTTTACCATAAGAGAGACTAACAGTTGGTATATTTTATTTCATAGTCGAGTTATGTAATAATTATACAATTTATTATTTTAGATATTTAAGTATAATATCAAGAACGATTATTATTAATTTAGTCTCCAAATTAAATTTTATATTTATATTTTTAGATTGGAGTTCTGGTCTTGGTGATCAAGAACGAGTTAAACGGCAGTTATCCGTTTCGTCTGATTCAAAGCTGTTAGACGAAGCTATATGTGAGGAAACGCGTGTCATACTAAGACCTAAAAAACCTCCTAGGCCTAAATCAGAAGTGTTCCTAAATCAACCCAACCACAGACGAACCAAACGGTATTCGGCATTTGGGGTGTGTATTTGTTATTTAACTTAATATTTTTTATATATTTATATGTGCAATCCATTGCACGTTGAAAGGAAAGTACTTAAATCTAACCTCTCCCCCATTCTTGATGAAAAATAAAATTCAGAATTGTTTTGAACACTAATGATGTTTATAACTTTATTCATTATAATATAGCTTTAAGCAGCCAAGAAATGTTATACCATTTTATACCTCATTATTATTTTTCCCTTTTGAATTTCGATTTCTTTTTTCCCTTTAAAATATGACACGTAACTTTGAATTCACTATTCTCGAGAAATATTATTAAATTCGCTTTCAAACATTTCTTCCTATATAATATAGTATTGTTTTTCATTCTAACTATCATGATTTTTTACTCTTTGTTTTATTTTATTCAGGGAGATTCTCCGTTTGGAAAATCAGAGGCGTACATAAAATTAGATCCGCTTGGTGAAGGTTCCTATGCTACCGTGTTTAAGGGGTACAGTAAGTAAGTACAATAACGATATACATACTAAACATATATTTTATAGATTTTTTAGTAAAAAGTTAATTATGCATTTGAGATGAATTAAAAATATTTTTGTGCATCGTTTATTTTTAATTATGTATATATAAGATGGAATAATTTTTACTACATACATTTAAAATATTTAATTTTTATTAGTGAACAAGTTATTAATTAGTCAAATAACTAAGTCTATAATATTCATGATAATGATATCGTTTAAATTATTGTTTATTTTTATTTTTATTAGAATACAGAATTTTAGTTTACCGTAAATCCATGAAAATTTTAATCGTTAATATTTATAACTTCTTCTATAAACCGTAAAACATTTTGTTTTTTTTTTTAATTTTGTATTTGAATAATATAAAATAAATTTCTTACTAGATTGTTAAAATGATCCATCATACATGTATTTATATATATTATCTATATTAAATAAATAAAATAATTGTTAAAGGCACAATATTCAGCGTTACTATCTTAAGTCAAGATAATTAAAATTTTAAATAAAATAACAACTTACTGTAATGATAAAAAATAAATGTATTTATATTAACTTCTCTATTGTGCTTACTGTAAATATATTTTATACAGATTGTATAAATTAAAATAAATATATAAAAAAAAAAAAAAATTATATTAATGAGAATGAAGATAAAATGATAAGTTAGTTTGTAAACAAAACGTTTAAATGTGTACAAGAATTACATTTTTACGATTATTATATGAAGAAAAATCGATGGAATATTTTTTTGGTTCTTTATTTAATTTTACGTCTTATTCGTAGCAAATAGAGGCTATTAAAAGTTTAAATAACAAAAATAAGTCAACAGTTTAATTTGGAAGGTTAACATATTTTTTTCCATAAAGAAACATTGTGTATCAATGGTTAGCGTGCCTTAGTAAAAATTTAATAAATGAAAAATCGATCGTGTTTCAATCTCTTGATATTTACATTATTTACATTAGGATATTATAAATGTAGTATATATCAATAATATTATTAAAGATATACATATATTTATTAAACATGTAAATACGTACTATACATGGTGTATAGGATTTATAATAGGTTCTATATGAATTCGGGTTTATATAATTTATATTATGATTTGGTTGTTATATAAGCCGATCATATATCAGAAACTCCGGTGTTTGTACATTGTACATTACTAATTTGTTGTATGATATGAATATTATATCACGTTGTATATATATAAACTCATAATAATATTTGCCGCCGTTTTATGTCAATAATTCATAACTAATAATTTACCTTTTTTTTTATTTCAAGTTTGACCAATCAAGTCGTCGCGTTAAAAGAGATAAGACTACAAGAAGAAGAAGGTGCACCTTTCACGGCGATCCGTGAAGCTTCGTTGTTGAAAGAACTGAAGCACAACAACGTGGTCACTTTACATGACATTGTGCACACACGTGAAACACTTACATTCGTTTTCGAATACGTTGTAAGTCTTCAGCATGTTATAATTTAACAATATATCTGGTTTCAACTTAAAACATAAATTTTTGCAGTTACAATGTATTATTACTATTATTATTATTATTATTTATTACATATTTAAAAAAAACCTCAATTTTTAGTACCTTTATTTTTTTTAAATTATGTTTTTCTATATTATTTTCTACTACTTTATTATTATTTTTATGGTTGCATAATAAAATGTTTATACTAATTTATACTATCTTTATACTCGAGTACAGTAATAACGTTTATGAATTCAAAAATACAGTAAAATTAATAGGTATTGATCTAAGAATAAAATATTATTATTCTCTCCTAAAAAGTATTTACATAAAAAAAATAATGTTTGATGGTTTGTTTATATTATAAACAAACTCTACTACTGTTTTTATTTATGTGAATAGAATAACTATACGTCTATACGTACATCATACATCTTTGGTAACAAAAGTTAACATTTTACGTTCTATACATGTAAATATTTCGAAAGTATTACATTATCCTATTATGATGTCATTAATTACTATTAAATGGTTTCTATAACAGGCTCAGAAGCTAAAAAATAATAAATTCCTTCTATGATAAATGTTCATTTAATTTGATTGTATTCACTCGTAATGCATCCACTATACTATAAATGCTTATGAGTCATAAACCTTAGCTACAATATAAAACAATGAATTATTTTGATTTATATTTGATTTGTCTTCATGTATTATTTTAAATATCATAAAGTTATATAGTTATTCAAATGCATTATTATTTTGATGTTTTATTTATATCTTAAAAATATATTTTGTATTATATTGTTTTAAATGAATGACTTATCATAATGTATTAATATCATTGTCAAGATTTAGTTAAATTTAAAATCAATTTATTTTTAACTAGATTTTAATAAAAAATGTTATGTAGTTGTTCTCTTTTTAAAATTAAAAATGTGAACAATACAAGTAATTAAGAAATTGAATAATTGATCTTAATTATTCCTTTAGAATTTCCCAGTACATAATGATTAATGGATACAGGAACAATAAAAACTGAGATATATTAATGTAAAAACTTATTAACCTTGTGATAATTATTTTAGCATACTGATTTGTCACAATACATGGAAAGACATTCAGGAGGTCTAGATTATTCTAACGTACGACTATTCATGTTTCAATTATTCAGAGGCTTAGCATATATACATCAACGCCGTGTACTTCATAGAGATGTTAAACCCCAGAATTTGCTCATCAGTGAGATAGGAGAACTTAAATTAGCTGATTTTGGTAAGTGTTGGATTAATTAATTTCCTATATAAAAATTATGTGCACTTCTATTCAGGTAAAAATGTTTATTGTTATTGTTTAGGACTGGCTCGTGCTAAATCAGTGCCAAGTCATACATACTCACATGAAGTAGTCACATTGTGGTATAGACCACCAGATGTCTTGCTTGGGTCTACAGACTATTCAACATCCTTAGATATGTGGGGTGTTGGATGCATATTTATTGAGATGATTACTGGTGTGCCCACATTCCCTGGAGTACGTGATACATATGATCAATTGGATAAAATATTTAAGGTTAGTATACAATTGATTTATGCTTATTAACTTTTAATGGTTTTATTGTTTTAACTTTGTTTCATAGATTTTGGGTACACCTACAGAAGAACATTGGGAAGGTTGCACACATCTAAAAGGTTATAAAGAAGGAAGAGGAAAAATATTTATGTACCCACATCAAAAACTTGGCCATGTGTTTCCTAGGTTGTATGACATTGCTGAAGGCGAAAACTTAGCTACGTCATTACTTCAGGTACAAATTTATATGGTATACTAATTTAATAAATGTATTAATTGTCACTATCTGTAATACATATAATAGATACAAATATATTACTACAGTGATTATTAATTATATAAATAAATAATAAAAAGAATTCTGTATTTTTATTATTTATTACAAAAAATCAATTTCAAATGTCATATTACATCAATATTATTTTCATAAATATTTTTGTTTTCAATTTACAATAACAAAACAAAGCATTTTTTTTTTTTTTTGTAACTTAATGAATAAGTATTTTTACAGTTAATTTTAAACATTCATCATAATTTTTATAAACATTTTTTATTTTTTTTTTAAATATTCTAATTTTATTGAAATATATAACCTATTTCATATTCAAATACACTAATTTAACTTTCTTACAAAAAGTATTTATGTTAATATCGATGATAAGATAAATTTAAATATCTATTTCAATTTTTTTGCATTAAATTTTATGTTTCTTGTAATGGTTTTTGATAAATAATTGTGTAAATATTAAAGGTTTTTACATTTCATGCAATTATATTATAATATATACAAAATTTTTATTGATAAATATTGATATAATTAATCTTATAACTAATTAAATTTACTAAAAATATTTATTATCCATAAATTTTATTGAAATTGTTACTGACAATATTGAAGTCACTATGTGTATTTATTTTTTTTATTTAATATTTAAATTCATTATTTATAAAAATATAATATTTTTTTTTCAGCTTAATCCAGATTTGCGTATAAACGCTCCAGCTGGTCTTAGGCACAAATATTTTCAATCCCTTCCCAAAGCTATATATGATCTTCCAGATGGTCAGTATAATATTGATAAAATTTAAAAAATTAATTTTAACTAATTGTATTTTTATATTTTCAGAGGTGTCTGTTTTCAGTGTAAAGGGTATTCATCTGAGTCATGAATCAAGAACTACGTTCAAGTGTTAAATGTTTTTTTTTTTTTTTTTAGTAATTCTGAAGTTATTACTAATTATTAGCTCAATAAAATTAAAATAATAATATTATATTTAAGTATAGTTGTTTACCAGAAACATTGAGTTGTGCGGCCCAATCGGGGCTTTACGCGTCTCGGCTGTTGAGCCATTTTACTGTGATGATGATTATTTTATATTTCCTATATTCATACTTATAAATGTTAGTATATCAGTGTTGTAAAGGGCTTCTAGAGTAAAAATATTTGAATATTAAAAAAAAAAAAACAATCAGTTATTTTACAATAATACACTTATTAAAAATATAAAAAAAAAGAACAAAGAGGAAATAAGATAATATAAAATATGTATTTTTAGAGCGATAATAATCTTTTTGTGTTTACTACTTATACAGTTTTCACAACTAAAATATTAGAATTTAAGGCAAATGAAATTGCTCAACAAAGTGGGGGTCAACTGTATAACAATCTAGTAACATTACAATATGTATACTTACTAATACATATATTTGTATTGATAATATTAAACATTAAATTTAAACTGAACAAAATAACTTAAATACTGTCCCCACATTCGCTTTGCCGTCCCTTGAACGTCCACTTCATGTAAAATTATTGTGTTTGAAAAACATTCCTAAAAATGCATCAATCACAAAATTTTCCCTTAGGATTATATTTGTTTTTGAATAGTATATTTTACATTTGTCGCTTGCCGTCCAATTGGTCCGTCAAAGCAAAATATTCCTCTAAAAATATTTTATTTAGCCGATAACAACATTTTCAAGATGACATCAGGTCTTTTGTTATTGTTAAACTATTTAATAAAAGTTAATGATCCGTTTACATTCATTTATATTAATGGTTGTGTTTTTAAACACATAATGTATTAACTTACTGCATTTTATATATATACCTACTTACATGTATATTATATTTTTTTTTATTTTTTTTTTTTTTTTTTTTTAATCTTTATTTTGTATTCAAATAAAATGTATACAAAGGTTGAGTTAAGAAGTAATAGAGTTAAATCAAAATTTTGATTTAACCTTACGATTAATGTACAATTTATATTTTAATGTAATTTTTTTATAATTTTAAAAATCATAACAATTTTTATTTTTACTTTCTTACTATGATACACTCAACATTTTTATTTTTTTAATTTTATTTTTAATAACTCAACCTTCTTAGGTACTTAGTAAATCTTAGTTCATTCAGTATATTATTTAAATATATAAATATATTTTTTTCAAACTAATTTCACAGTCTCTCTTTAAAGGTAGCAAATATATTAGCGGCTAAATATTATATTAACGAATTAATAGATTATAAATAATGACATCTTATGTATGATAGATATTTCACTGTGTTCTAAATTTTGCACACGCTAGTGAAATAACCAATTTCTGTCACTAATGAAGTCAATTAATTTATTGTGAAAGATGAAGTCGCGTACTTAAGTATTTTTTTTTCTGTAAAATAAATTTTGTACGCTGTTTTCTTTAATGAAACATTTAAGGCAATATATGTGGATTTCAACTGTGATTGTATGTCATTGTGTTTTAAGTTAACAATTTTAACAGTTTAGCAAAATTTGTGTAATTTATTTAAAAAAAAATAAAAATGTTTATGATGCCCTTTCTGTATCATTTTCCTGCCCATTGAACTACTGTTTTGTCTATATTTTAATATATTGTCATAATAATAGTGTATTTATTATTATTAATGTAATATACATATTTTATGTGACAATTATTATTATTATTATTATTATTATTATTATTATTATTATTATATTATTATATTATTATTTATTTATTTTAGGACTGTTAAAAAAAAAAAAAAAAAACGGGTGTAAATAGAATTATTATCATAACTTTGTCATTTATATAGTTTGTTTATATATTATATTTGTTTAAAGACTTTATATTGTAGAACGACTCATCAAGTGTAAAAAGAAAAAAAAAAGAAGAATTAAATAATAAATTATAAAACAACAAATTTCTCAAAACAAATATCAAGTTTTCTTTTATTTACTACTAGCTAAACATGTATATTTTATTTAACACCTAACACACAAATAAAACTAATTGTGCCACTTTGTATGTACAAATGATAATTCATCACACGTCAAATGGATTGGAGATCATATATTGCCGCTGACAGCTCGTTGGAATCACGTAAATGGCCACGACATCAATATGTACGCAAACAGCAGTAAGAATAAATGTTTTTTGTTTAGGCCTGTAACAAATAATGATTAAAAAATTAAATATCGGTAATTTTATAGTCAAGTTAACAGTTATTATAATTTTAAACACTTCAGATTGTGTCCATGATTAAAAATTATATTCAGATATATTTAGTCATTATGTTTTATGGTTAATTTTTAAGAATATATTTTTCCTCAGAGTTTGTTCCTTGGTATGGTGCACCTTATATTAAACAATATTATGTTTGTTCACATAGGCTATTTATCAATGATTGTGTAGGTACCTTTTTGGTGAAGAACTTATCAAGACTTATCTAGGCTTTTTTATATAGTCATGGATATGAGTACTGTACAGTTTTAATGAAATATAGTTCTAATGATCAAATAAAATATTAAATTTAATCGTTAACGTTACCTATTCGAATATCTTAAGTGCTATGTCATGATTGTGATAAAGGGTGTAAACGTGGACAGACTTTAAAAGTTTAAAAGATATAAAATAATCGACTTAAAACTTCGCAAGTAACATTGTATACCTACCCTTATATATTATAATGTTAAATTATATTAGGGTGTAGCCGATACCAAACGCTTATCTCAAAGTAGGTACCTAATACTTTAGTGGTTTGGTATATTAGCTTGTCACAGTTATTTAAATCGTTTGTACTATAACTACACATTTACGTCTATTTTTGTGATCAAGATATTATTAAATATTTATTATTGTAATACACTAATACCTACTTACACTTAAAAGCCTTATGTGAAAAATACATTTGTGGGAATTTAATAGTTAAAACAATTATTATGAACATTTATTATTTTTAACGTAGGTAGGTACCTACCTAATAACACATGAAAGTAAAAGATAATGAATTATGATAACAATTTATATTACATACTAGGTACCTACCTACTTATAAATATTTTCTTGGGCATGTTTCTAAACGGTTTTATTTTTAGTATAATATTATGTTTCCTACTAAAAACAAATTCACGCTAACCCAATTATTCTTAATTCTAAAATGATTTTCAGAAAATTTAAGATTTACTGTTGAACAAGGCATTTCTACTTCACCGCTACACACCATCTTTAATGAGGTCCCCTAAGATAGTAAACTAGCACCCAACCTTTACAACATCTATAGACTATAGGTATAGGAAATATTTCTCCAGCTCTTGACACACTTTAAGCTGTATAAGTCACATTTACTGATGACACAACCATATTATTCACAAACAATGTCATTAAAACAACTGCACGCAATTTATAATAGCCTCATTGAAGCTTGATGCAAAAATCGATTGATAAAAATATATGAGAGCAAGTTAACACAAGTCACTTTTTTCTTTCGCATTATATGCTCCTTTGCAATAAAATTTAATAATGTAATCATTACCGTAGTTCCTGTTTCTATCATAATGTATGTTTTCAAAACTGATACTTTTGTAGGTAGGTACCTACACTTATGACCTATATATTTTTAAAACGTAATTTTGGTGTGAGTGGCAAGCATACCGCTTAATATTTGCTTACTTTTTATTTATCAACTAAATGATTCTTTTTGTAAATCGATTTTGTTACCAAGTTTCATTTATAAAAACCACCTATTATCATAGGTATAGGTAATATTGTCAAATATACCTAAGAAATACAAACTTTAAATATAGATATAACAACTCAATTGTATATTTTTATTTTTAGTTGAAAGCGGATGTATGAGAAGATGAGATTATACAAAATAATGCTTTTTAAAATTACAGCTATAGCTCTATAATAGATTACAAGGAAAACATTTTTAATACCTTTCAGAATACGAATCATTAAAATTTCAAATACTTTAGTACCTATTTGTGGATATCACAAAAATATATAAATATTTTTTTAAATATATCAGGACTAGAGCGTTTAATCAAGTTTTGTATTAATACAAAAAAAATCCTAAATTTTTTTTTAACAATGTACTTTTTTGTTGTTAGACTACTATATCTAAATTTGAATATATATTATATACATATACAGAGTGATTTATTAGGTCACCAAGGATACTAACTCGAGCATGATTTTATTAATTAATACCCAAATTATGATTAATAAGTGCTTAAATAGTATACCTATTTAATAACTAATTGGTTATGGCAATACAAATTTATAAATTTAACCATAGATAACAAAAATATTGGAAAATATTTTGGCTCTTGAGTTATTTAATAGGTATTCAAAATGTTTTACTTCTATTTTTGTTGATAACATTTTTGTTTACCTGTAAATTATTTATAATAGAAAATTCGTTGTTAGTTGGTCATTTGACAAATTAAAAATACCGAAAAAATACATAAATTTAAATATTTGCCATGCAAGCGTGTGCCAATACAATATTGACGTTCGAAATTTATATTCACATAATGGTTATCGAACTGACTAATTTTAATTTGTAAATTTAGTGAATTCAATCAAAACCTGTTGTCGTTTACTATTTGTCAAGCCGTTAAAATGGAAAAAAAAACGTAAATAAATTTATGCAAATACAATAATAATTAATTAAAAGTTATTATACGGGTAAAATCAACTAGAGCGTTTTCCAATAAAACGATTTTTTTAAACTTTTATATTTACTCATCGTTTGGTTTTCATTTAATTATCATAATCATATCATGGGTTTTTTTTTATAATGCGCCTAATATAATATATAGATATGTGTACCTGCAGTACACATAATAAATTGGTAGTGATTATTTTTCATAATAGTATTTTAAATAACGGAAACAATTTATTATACTATATGTCGCGGTAGTGTACAATTGTACAAAAACAAAATTTATTAGATATGTCATAATATATATTATACAGGTATAATATTATAATAATTATAAATAATAAAATCTAATAAGCTTCCCCTGTGCCAAATGTCTCATTAGTTATTGTAAAATAATATAAACTTATGTACATTATGCTAAGTAATTCATAAAAAATAGAAAAACATCCATTGTTTTATAAACTATTAACTTTTTAGAAAATATTCTTTTATATAATTGTAAGTTTTATAATAATATTAATTAATATCTACGTTTATTATGCGTTGTAATGAATCTAATATAGAACGTATACTACTCATAAAACCTATTTAAAGGCTTATTTTGTTATCATGGTTAACCTATAATAGTTCAAATAAATATTACGTTTTATACGGAGTATTCCATTTGTTCATTTGTCCGCGCAATACTCAGCGTGTATCTAATCAAACGGTCGTTTATAATACATTTTTTTTTTTTTATGTGAAATAGTCTGAAAGGGTTTGCGTTTAATATATTCCCGTCAATATACAAACGTATAATATGAAGTATACCTATACGTACTTAATGAAGAATTAATCCGATCCTCTATTTTTAAACTCAACTTTAATATTAGTATTAAAATATAAATCAAACGTATATTTTTTTTCCTACGCTTACTAAGAAGAAGAGAACGTTTCTAGTTGTAAATTGCAAATGGACATTCATTAAATACAAACATTAATAAAAACAATTTATTTTGTTGTAGGTATCTAATTTTTGCACAAACTACATCATACTTAAAAAGTTATCTTAAAGTCTGAAAAACGGGTCGATAAAAAAAAACGATTGGTCTTACAAGCAGAAATAAACAATGTAATATTATAT